CCAAATGGAATGGATAGCACATTTCCAAAGTATGTAGCCATATGTGAGGCTTGGTGACTTCGGTAATTTTCTCGCTCACTTAATCTTGTACGTCCATCAACAACAATGCCCATTTTGCATAATTTTTGGGCACAACCAATTTTAGTGTCAGATTTAGCCACCATCTTCCACAAGAATGCACAAAACGATTCGAGCTTGGTCCTTTTGAACCCATTCGAGCTTGCAAGGGCTTGCAGATTATCAAGTTGCTCTGCTGTGACGTAGTATATGCGACTGATGAGATGGTCTTGGTCAACATCAGTGTCGTTTTTGGGAGGTGGTAGAGCTGTGATGGGCACGTACATGTCGTTTAGGGAGGGATCAATGTGACCAGGACGACGAGGGTTGAGCAAAGAACGACGAAAAGTTGGTAGCAGAGAGAGTGATTTCGACTGAGCCATCTCAGCCCATGAGACCAGAAACATGTTGGTCGAGTAGGCATCTGCTATGCGATGATCAAACGAGCATGCCACCACCATTCCTCCACACTTGAGCTCAGTTGCCTGTAATTCATTTTGTTTCTATAGTGTTAGGATATTTTGTTATAACGTAAATATGATTTTAACTAAGGTTTTGTGTTTGCAATTAATGAGTCAAGTTTTTCTCGTGGCATTCGATATAACTAAGGTTCCCAAAGTCAAGTTCTAGCTGGTCCAGATTTTATCTATGTCGACATAACATGATCTATCTAGAGAGACAGATACCTGGACAGCCAGCACCCCATGCTTCTTCTTGGGAACCAATTTGCCCTCTATGCTCTCATCAGGGTCATAAAGGTTAAGGTCCTTAAGCTCAACATCTGCAAAGGCTTCAGGGGGAAGAAGCAAGTCAGGGTGGGAGAGTGGCAGCCAATGCTCTTGCAATGGCAAGGCAGCAGCCACCACTTCCTGCTTGCTCATGGTCACCTTGAACTCTCCTCTCTCCATGTTTGATTATTTGATTGCTATATGGTTTGATATTTTTGTGAGCAAAAGACGGGAAGAGAGGAAGGCAATTTATAAGCAGCCAATAGGCTCAAGACGTTTAAAACGAGAATTTTCTAGCAAGACTAGCTAGCCAACTACCCTCCTATTGGGATTAAAAAGACAATAAAAGCCCTCAAAACCTGGAAGATGTTTTGGTATTGTACCGCGGAAAAATGGTTCCAATCCAAGTTTGGTAGTTTTTTTTTTTTTTTTTTTTTAAGTACAATCGATGGTCTAAATTATAAGAAGAGGCCTTTTGTGAGAGTTTTTCATATCTCCATTGTGAGAGTTTTATTTGTATTGTTATAATTTGGTTTTTTCAAGCTTTATTTATTATTATTATTATTTTGAGTTTGTAATGTTAGTTAGTATGCCTATGCCATAGTTTTTTCGATCATACGTGATTGTTAGTGTAGGCGTACCAAATTATCTTAATTTTCATATTAAATCGGTTTATTATTATAATTGCCCTTTGTGACTAGTTTGTATTGATAATTTATGACTAATAACTCTTTCAATTAAATTATAAATACAATTTTAGAATTTCTCAACAATAAAAACTATATAAAGAGAATTTCTCACACCTACTTGCTACTTGTCAAAGACAATGACAGTATTTGAGTTATTCTTGCCTGCATTAATGGTTGGTAGAAGGCTGCCTGCTCTTGCCTGCCACTGTTTATGGACTATTAGAACAAAGTCAATGTGCTGTCGATTCTGGCTTTTGCAAATTGGGCCACGAGGAATGGCGCGTGGGGATTTTATCCCGGTCCATTCCCACTGAAATGCGTTCCTCGTGTGTCGATTCTTTAACAACAATGCCCATTTTTACACGGTTCTACAACCGACCATAAAAAAGGCACTAAATTTTGCCTTTAAAAAAAAAAGAATTCATTCCAGTTGGATTCCTTCCTACGCACTACTTACCAGATTGGATTCCTTCCAATAAATTGTCCAATCTGGCAGTTCTACAACCGACCATGAGAAAGGTAGTAAATTGTGGTAGGTTTTACAATTGTGAAACAAATTGGTTCACATAATGGGATAATTAACATTGTGAGAAATTTAAACCCCTCAACAAGAAAATGTAGCTTAGGCCAGTTGGTAAGGCAATGAGCTCACCTTCTTGCACCTAAGTTCGAGTCCCTCTCCATGCAAATTAAATTAATTTAAAATAATTTAGATTATTGCTTGTAAATCAAAAAAAGAAACCCCTTAACTAACTAGAGATATAACCAATATTATACCAGATGTTACTTATACTAATTTGTGATACTAGCAAAATCAATGCTTAAAATTAGAAAACTTAGTATAGTAAAAGGATGATATTATTATTAGTATTATTATTAGAGGATAATGTCGCATAATTTGGTTTTTAGGTAATAATCAATGCTAATATTTGGCGTTCTCGCATTGTGTGTGCTTGTCATCAAGAATGTGTCCATTTTTGTAAAAATTTTACAACTAAGAAAACTCTATCAAACACAAGACTAATCATATGCTTGTAGTGACCAAATAGGGTCAAACAACAGAGTATGACATGTACCTAACACGAGCAGTGCTAAAATTGTGATACTAGGAAAATTAATGCATAAAATTAGGTAACTTAGTATAGTAAAGGGATGATATTATTATTATTATTATGAGGTATATTAGAGGGTAATGTCACATAATTTGGTTTTTATGTAATAATCAATGTCGATATTTGGCACTCCTGCATTATGTGCTTTTATCAACAAGAATGTGTCCATTTTTGCATAGTTTTTACAATCGAGAAAAATCTAACAAACACAAGACTAATCGTATGTTTGTAGTGATCAAATAGGATCAAACAACAGAGTATGACATGTACCTAACACGAGCGGCGCTAAATTTGTGACACTAGGAGAATTAATGCATAGAATTAGGTAACTTAGCATAGTAAAGGGATGATATTATTATTATTATTAGGTATATTTGAGGGTAATGTTGCATAATTTAGTTTTTATGTAATAATCAATGCTGATATTTGGCATTCCCTCATTGTGTGCTTTTATTAACAAGAATGTGTCTATTTTTTGCATAGTTTTTACAACTGAGAAAACTCTAACAAACACAAGACTAATCATATGTGTATAGTGATAAAATAAGATCAAACAACAAAGTATACATGAATATAACACGAGTAGTGCTAAAATTAGTCCCCCCCAATACATCGAAGGTTAGAATTCGCCCATTCCAGTACAACTAACTAGGGATAGATCTACACTTAGGCTAGAG